AGCAACTTAAACGTAATTTCACCATGACTCTTCGCCTCGACCTTAAGCAGTGGTGGGTCACGAGAGCGAGAGAGATGGAGAAGGCATCAGCGCTGGGTAAAACCTGGCTTGTTACGGACACCGACAAGACGAAAACGATGGTTGGGGAAACCATCACCCAATACGATTGAACTCTGATAACCTTTTAGCACAGACGACTAAAATGGTGGACAGAACACTCTGAAACATACACAACACCTCAGTTGCTCAGCATCCAGCCTGGACCCGAGTAGGAGGTAGATCTTCGTCCTCCAACTCTTCTTGAAGTTAAGAAGGCTGTGTTGAACCTGAAATGATGCAAAGTAATAGGACCTAACAGTTTGCCACCTTAAGTTTTCAAAGACCGAGGTAGGAAATGCTAATTAGAGTGACTGACGCAGGTACTAGGTAGTGAATGAGAATCGGAGGCAGTCTGTCGAACTGATCAACTTTTCTGATCACCTCAGTCTATAAGAAGGTGGAGAAGTCATCGTTTGACGACCATTGGCGAATCACTTTGACTAATATTGTGTCCAAGATCCTAGAGTCCATAGTTATCCGACGTCGAACTCACGTAACCGTGTAAAGGTTTTAGAGTTGTCGTCTGGACTGATGGTGTCTACCATGGATACCCACTGACACCTTTCAACTTCTTCAGATGTACCAGTGGGCATAAACTTCGGTATGTCTGACTTCACACAGTCAGATCCACTCACTAGAGGTCATCTGCTTGATTTGAAGAATGCAGACTATAAAGTCTAGCGGGATGAAGTGACAAAATGTACGATCTTCTGAAAGCGTTGGGCAGAAATCCGAGAATGGTATGCGTTTGGCTAGCACCTGTCAAATGTAAGACAATGTTCCGGGGCTGGTCTGCTGCAAGTACTCCCGGTTTAATGATAGGGCGTAAAGTAGTGGAACGTGTCGACTTCATACTTGGAGAGTTGCACCAGCTCGAACTGGCAGGTTGACGACAAAATCTCAGCTCGGATACAAAAGCTCTATTCGACATTTGCGTCACCTTCGGTACCGGTGAGATATCCGACGATCTATCAAAGGACGAGTATGCCGGAGTGCAGTCCGCTTTGTCCTATTATACAGCTGAGATATGACCATTGAAAGTAGAAAAATGAGGGGGGTACAGGTTTTGACCATAGATGTCTTCGTAGCACCGCTCGCGCATGGTGGGATCACCGCGTGAGGAATATTGAAGTCAGGCGAAGGGTACTAGACAAAACCAACAAGTAGATTGACGAGGTTGCGAACCTCCGTTGAGTGAGGTGGCTTAAAAAAGTACTGCACATGCCCAACCACTGCCTACTTTGATGTTCCAAGCTAGAGGAAGTTGACTAGGTTGGAGGCGAGTTCAGAATGGACAGTTGATGAAATCTTTTGTTGTTGGTCTGTGCTTGTGAGAAGAGATGTAAACTACCTGGCTGGGGTCCCAAAGAGGCTAGAAATCAGTGGTTGGAGACTCTTGGTGACATGGCTGGAAAATGAGTTACAGTGAAGCGGATGTATTTACTCTCTGACGCCTTCTAAAGCTCGAATATCTGTACTAACCTCCGTCTTCAAATCATCTGTTTTCTCACACAAATTTGATATCAGTCTTTGTTACCAACTTTTACTTTGCATACTACTGTGAAGTGTAGCAACTTGAACTTATACACTTGTGTGCGAGATTCTACCTCGACCTTGTCTGTCTCAACTTTATGATCTTGAAAACGATATCAGTCAAAATGACTTCGCTATCAGTGTTGCAAGAAGACTTCTCTCCATTTTTTGAACTTGAATAATCAGTGATGTAGACGAGTGTGATGAGACTATCTCTGATTCCCATAAGTTACTTAGTGCTTCCGTTACCCTGCTCATTAGTTTTGCGCCTCCTTCGTTAAAAACTTTTGATGACAAACCATCTGGTCCTGCTGTTTTGTATCGTCCCAGGTTAGCAACAGCCTCAACTTCGAGGCGAGTTGAAGGATCAGCTCCGAGAATAACTCAAATAGGACTCCATCTTTGGAAGCATTCAGCTGTATGCGAAACAAAGGATTATCTTCAGTCTACTATTAAAGGACTTGATTGGTCTCCCTACAGAATAACCCTCTAACAGACAGTCTTTGTGGCTTTTTTATCAGAACAGCTATCGGTAGACAATTCTGTGATTAATCTAAAGAATAATAAGCTGAATTTGGGTGAAATCACTTCACCTATTGTCACTATATGAACAATATTTTTATGTACTAAACAAATAATTAGATTTTAATGTCATTCCTCAGTCGATTTATTGATGTTTCAAATGAAAAACAAGTCAGCTAGTTATATCGCACACATGTGTCTATCGACTGAGATATACACAAAAAGTTGTATCAAGTGCACTACTAGGTAGCTTGATCAATGTTTTTGGAGTACCTAAATTAGTAGACAGAAAATGGATAAGTAAAGTGGACGCCATACAGCATATCGCCCTATTCGGCCAATATCAGTCACGCACTGGACAGTTAACACAGTTTATCACATTTCACTAAATACTCATGATAGAAATCGGACTTATCTCTTAAACGTAGCTCTAGCTATAGAGACTTAGGGAAACAAGGGTGGAGTCCAGAAGTCGGCAGAACTTTTCTTTGCTATGGTCAAGGAAGACCCAATGATGAACTTTACTTTTAGTTTCGCAACAATCTTATCAATATTACTATTTATTGACATATTCTCCGTTGTTTTGTTGGATAGAATTGTTCGACCTCTATTGGCATATGGGCTCTTATGCAGATACCTGGATATTGCCTGAATGTTAATTATGATAAATTGGTTGGTTGTGGCTAGCAGAAGAATCCAGGATGCGTGTTTCGTCCTATCTGGGACTCGTCAGCTGGTTTAAACTTGGTTTACATAATTCACCAATCCTTCAGTGTTTTTACCTCTGAAATATCTGTTTTCATCACTCCCCCTAACACATATACTGCTGTTTATGACTGACTGCATATAATCTACACCCTTGTAATTAATTGGCAAATCAAAATCAGTTTAGTGTTATAGATAATTTTATATATTCGACTTTGAATAGTGACAGTACTGCATCGAATACATATCTAGGTAAATCAACATTAATGGGGTGACCAAACCCAAAAGTTGTTAGAGTTTAGTAACTTCTGCCTAAATGCATTCAAATAAAAAGTACTCTCAAAGGTCAACTCAATGAGTATGCAAACACAGAACTGCGAGCCAACTGGCTGAATATATGCTCCTTTCAAAGTAATCTATCACTTATATGCAGTTAATATAACTATGAACTATTTATCACTTAAGGATTATTTCACAGAAGGTAAGTATATGCCTACATTTCTGTCCACCATGACATATATCTAATTGCAAACAACATTATTTGCACAAATATCTTGTTCGGATTTTCATAGATATTTTCCAAATTACTTTACCAATCAACAAGTCCCTCTAAATACTTGGAAGTGCATAAAATTTAAGCTATGTATGACTATATAAATAAAACTGATATTCTTAAGGGTAAAACATGTTTTTAGCGAAACTACGTATTTGCTTAATCCACTTGTTATTTCAATGTTATCATGGTAGATCTTCTAAATTTTTGATGACTGATATCAATCGACTGAATCCATATCCTGATTTCCATACACGAAACAGAACTTTATTTGGGGGCAACGTTCTTGTAACTGTCACCAGTGATGTTCTGTATGAATCTCCATGTAACTGGACTGAGTAGAAGATGGAAGAAGAGTTTAAACCACTGATTCACTACTGACTTCTGTGAACCCAGAGGGACTCGGCTGATGAATTACTGCCATCAAAACAGACTGATTTAACTGACAGGTTGTATATTACCATTCTCAGTCAGTAGCTGTTGTATTACCCCCCAAAATGAGAAATACGCAGATCAGTAAGTATGCCTTTGCTACAACCATTAAGAGGTATCTAAACACTAGACTGCACTAGTCTGATCACATTTCGAGATCAGTGATTTCAAGTTGATGAACATCGACAATAACAGATGATACGCGAAAGTTTTCTGCTACTGTTGATGTCATGGATAGTGATGAGGATACTGGTTGTTGGTTTTAGCTTCTTACTATTTAGCTACCACGGCTGTGGCTTAATTATTTTAACATACCAAGTAGACGAGAACCAATATATAGGATAAAAACGTAGAACTACAGAATGGCTACGACGAGGTCTTTTTGCAAGTTGTCTCAAAAACACAGTAAACATTAATAGCTGTTTACATTTACAGTAAACATTTACAATACACCAAACTCAAAAACTGTAAGTAAAGTTAGTTAGTGGTATCTGTATTCTGTGTTACAGATTGAAACCGTGAACCTTTTAGGTTCTGAAGAGCATCGACAATATTATTTTCTTCTATAAACTACTAGTTAATCACGTAGAAAAATACATCATGATGGCTTGTCAGATTAATTTGATATGCACAATTCATATTTGTAAGTTGAATTTGTACAGGTATCTCTGAAAAAGTTAGGTTCCAAAAAGATGACGCCACCATCCAACGCTGCGATAGCTCATTATTAATTACCAAAATCTGTAGACCTATGTGTTTGCTAGCTAGTCATGTTGCTCAGAATAATAAAACCTTTAGCAAGCATTATTTCAAAAGTCCTAGAACACCAGTCTAGCTTATCAAACAACTCACTTTAGCTGTAAGTGATGCGCCTGACGGAGGAACGGCACTAGCAGAAACTAGCCATTTATGAAAGAGAAAAATGAACAAAGGAGAATTTGATCATGCTCGAAGTGTGCGCGTCAACCGCACATTTCCACTGCTTAAAAACAAATAAAGTTCACTGTGTAAGGTAGCTCTCAGCTTTACAATTCAATCTGGAAGAACAACCAGATCAGAAAATAGTTGACTTCGGCAAACGACTAGACTCTTAATGACCACTTCCCCCATCCAGTTTATATTGGTTTCCAACCCCTCAATTTTGAAACACTAGCCTCTAAACAAATGGTATATTTGCGACAGATTACCATCGCAACAAAGACAAACTCATCTCTAACGTGCAAACCTCATAACAGATGGTTGAGAGATAATCGGGAAACTTGAGACTGCTGATAGAAAACCAGAACTTTTTAATGAAATGCTGAAGCTCGTAAAAATAGAAATAAAAAGTTTGGATATTCTGATAATGAAAAGCATGACAAACTTCGGATAGATAAAGTGGACTGGAAAATATTACAGTAACAAAAATAAGTTGTGTTTCATTCTGTTTCCTCAAGCCGCGCACGTAGGCGTGCTGCATAGCCTGTGGAGCGCATATGATATGGTAACTTGTTAGATTGCTTTTTCCTGACATTTTTCAATGCATCATCACAGTTAAAACGATTAGATACCTCGTTTAGGGGTTTTTTGAGTAAGGATGTTGAAGGTGTAGTACATGAATTTATTTTGTCAGAAAAAAGTGATGTTGGTTTGTACTCTGAGTGTCTACTTCTTGAACTACCGTAAGTTTTGCTTTTGACTGAACGTGTATCTCCTGATAGTCTCTTTTTAGTTGGTGAACTGACAGCAGGAATAACAGTTGTCTCTTTTGTGTAGTTAATAACTGGGACTGGAATCGGTAAACGCATCATCTCACTTGCCATGTGAACTATATTTTCAAAAGTTCTAACCAACTTTTGTAACTTCGCAGCAAATTCAGTATTTAATCTGGGGATGCGATAAAGACGAGGGAGCCAGTAGCGTGTTACTAAGTGGAGCCTGTCATCTGGTTCTAGCAGTTCCAAATCAACTACAAGATTATGAAGTAAACAACCGGAGGGAAAAGATATCCATGTGGGAAGAAAACTGAGGGTGTTAGATCGCCGATCAGATGGTAATAGCTGGTCAACTAAATTTGTCAGTGACCGTAGGTAAATATACACAATGTGAATCGTTGTTAAGTGATGAACAAAAGATAGGTTAAAATGAGATCGTGCAGATGACTTATTTTTCAAAAACACATTCAAAATACGGTAGTGTTCAATCGACAGTTCATCAGATTCTTCGACATTGAAATAATTGGCAGCAGTAATCGCTGCCACAGCTAGTACGATAGACGATTTGCTTAAGACGTCAGGCGTAGTTATTGGATTTTCTACAGTAGCACGAAACCAGAATGCCAATGTGAGAGCTAAACTTGTTGTCCACTTCAATTCAGGATTAAAATATGAAAATGAAAATCCAACTAGGTTGGAAATTACTGCATCTGTAGTATCTTTTTTTGAGTTGAAAATTAGAGGTTCAACTTGAATACGAAGTGTTGTCAGAACTTCTCCAATGCGAATATGCTCCAAAACATTAGGATTTAGGCCAAGTAGTTTTTGCTTTTGTGACAGATGATGTTCAAGACCACAGAGTAGTCGATAGTGCATCCATCTTAGAGGTAAGGTAATTCCATAAACAGACCATTCAATATTTGGATCTTCAACTGGTAAAGGCATAACAATGCCACCATGACAGTAAACTGGAGTTAAAATGAGTGGTGCAAGTTTATGTCTAAAATACAATTGTGACAGATTTTCTGGCCAACCCGACGTAAAGTCTGTATTGCCTAAAATAACCGTTGACTGATCTTTTAATAAGTCATTGAAACGTCTTTCCCATAATTCGATTTCTTTTGTGGAATTAGGTTCGTGAGAGTTATGCACAAATCGATTTGATTTCACCTGATTTTGAGTTGAAACGAAAGCTTTTGGATTGAGAAATATAGTCAAATTTTTACCTAAATCTAAATCAGGTAAATACATTGCTAGTGATTCTGTAAGCATTTTTAGCAATTTCGGTCGTTCATTAGGTGGATAACACTGGAGTACTTCATTGACAGGCATTTGAGGATTAGCGCTGAATTTGGAAAACCAGGAAATAAGGGTACACCAACGCCGAGTTTTATACTCATCTATATCCATGCTGTTCATAATGCGATACAAGTAACTAGGCAGCTTAATGTTAGGTATTGAATCTGTTCCAAGCAGTAAACCGACTAGTGGTCGATAAGCTGGGTTAACTGCGGATAAAGGAGATAATTCGGGAAGAAATTTATGTGCTGTTAGGAAACGACATGATTTCGACACAGATCCTGGTTCAGCGTCTATCGATTTACAAGAAGTACAAGTTCTGTCAAATTCCAAGTTGTCTAGTTCCATGAAAGACAACGGGACAAAATAAGATGTAGGAGACAGCGTTTGATGAAAATTGACGAGGAAGTACTCTGGAGAACTGGCGATGACTGGATGACTTAGGTTAGCAGCTAAGGAAATGCAACTTCGTACACGAGGATACGGGGACTTCAAAAAATTAACATCCATATCCCTCAGAATATCCACCAGGACACTTTGAAGAAATACAAGATAAGATTTCATATGTCCTTTGTTTGTTTGTGTATCTTTTGAAAATAATGACCTCACTGACGATTGCATCTTTCGAAGGTCACTAAGCAGTTGAGATCCCTAAAATTTGAAGAAATGGTAATTTTGATCATTTAATTCAGGCAACCCACGTTAAAGCATAATTATTAATAGAGTAGTAACAATATTTAGACAAAATATTGGGTATTTTATATTGGTAATTACCAAACTACATAATATTTGATTTATAAAGATCGTATGTAACCAGAGTAGACTGCCCAGCGCTAGCACTCTATCTGATAATTAATCAGTCAAAAGCACAAAGACGGCATATATCATAGTTTAAAGTTTTGCAACTCACTTTAGACAAGCACATTTCTTCTCTGCATATCACTGACATTCTTGTTATTGACACAAAATCAATATTCCAATCAATATATCATTTGACAAACTCTGAGCCAACTACATTTGTACTTCTCGAAAGAGACTGCATAACGGCCTAATATGCAGACAGAGATGAAGCCGAAATAACTTGGCATTACGGTTCAAGTTACCATACCTAATATCAGCACCTCGTGCGAGAAAGCATTCAGAAGAAAGATAAAGAAGAAAACAGTCAAAAGTGTTGGAAAATAGTTAAAAGAAAGGAACCAGGAATGATCAAATACTGAATTCAGTATGATGATTAGGATGAAAATAATGTGTGGATACGTCTACGCCATTGACATCGATTCTGAGCTAAATCGCCTAAAGTCTCTAACCACTGGTTCTGGGTGTCACGCGGACTCCAGTCAGGCAGTCTTAATTCCCATACACAACTCAGACCATCAGTCAAAGATTTTGCGCACTGATGTCATGTTTTAGTTCGGCCGCCCCGAACCTTTTTCTAGCCTGAACCTACTTTAGATAAAATTCTGCGATCAGACAGACGATGACTAAACGCAAGTAACCATCTTCCGTTTATGAATGTAGCAATTCTAAGTTCAAATGGATATCAAAAAAAGAAATATACTACTGAACAACCTAAGTTGTTATAAACTACTCAGGCTAAACTGTAAATTTCACCGACCAGATCAAAGTGACTTAAACATCGTACGGCCGTATCGTTCATTTGGGACCGAGCTCACGCAAGTCACCTAGCCAGATTCAGGTGATTTGAACAATTCGGCTATGTGAGCTAAATTTTTCTGGGTAGACCTATTAGTACATTTACAGGGGCGCAAGCCAATCAGAACGCTAACAGGTCATACGAAATATGAACCATGCGCAGGAAAAGAGGGCGAACTGTAAGTATGGAATATAAAAAATATAGGCATCCCTAACAAGATCGCTGATCAGCGCGACCCCGAAAGAGTGACACAGCCGTCCGGTGTTTAGATGACTCTGATCTGGTTGGCGAAATCCTGAATAGCCTAAATAGTTTCTAACTGCTCAAGTTGCTCAGTATTAGTGTATTTCGATAGTTCATGCCACTTTTGTGTCGAAGATCACAACTAGTCATCTTGGCTAAGTGGTTTTCAGCGGAAACCTTATTGACACCACATTAAGTGCACTTTAATTCCTCAAATGAAACCTCATAAAATTGATGGCATTCAACCTAAGTAATAGGTTGAGATATAAAACTGTAATCTGATATCTGCAACTCAACAAGCCTTAACATGTTTTAACATAAGGCGATGAGACAAATTTAACAAACTGTTCATCTGCCTAGGTCCAAGTAGGTGGAGCGGACAAGAATCTGTCACCCGACAGTTGGTAGTTTCGAAGTGCTACGGTTACTCTCAGCTTTTAAGCAAAACTTACTACAGGAATTCATCATTGTTTATTGTGGCATTTCAAGTATTTGTTTCAAAGGTAACTATGAAAATAATCTTTAGTTCAATAAATCCTACTACTAGGTATATACCATTGCTTGCTGACACAATAAAGCACCAGCGGTCCACCTTACGACCCAGTAAAAAGACAACTGTACAATTAAAAACATAAGTGGACGATATTGCATGGACTGCTTTGATGACCTTCTAACTTTCCACTGAAAGACGGATGATCAGAGAGCAACTTGTGTGAAAAACAGCTAGAAATGTATTGATAATTTTGAACAACTTTCGTCAAATTGATTACAAAAATAATCTTGCCAATAAATCTAAGTTCAACAGTTAAGTCTTTTTCGTAGTATTCACGCGTTTAATGGCGTTTATTGGCTTCAGATTCTCACCTGCAAATTCCAGTGGGTATCCATTTTTCATCAACATTTCTTGCGAATTCTCTGCTTCATCATGGATGGTATCCTCGGTATACATTCATGATCCTGAGGAGAGTGAATGGATAAGACTCCTCTTTCTACTTAAGGTCACACAGCATTGAAAACTGATAAACTGCCTGCTCTAAGTGGGTTTTCTGTAAATAGATTAATTGATTGAATCGTAATCTTTCCTTTGAAGTTGGACGTCAAGGAAGTGGAATCCTGAATTCGACTCTTCTTCTAAAGTGAATTTGATAAAGTGGTGATCACGATTGAAGGTTTGAGACAGGTTTTCAGAATTGGTATTCTCGTCACAAATGATAAAGGTATCATCTATGTATCTTTTGCAGACATAAAGCACGCTGATTATTTTTGATAAGACCGTGTTATCCAAGGTTGCCACAAAACAGTCTTAATAGTAATAGGTTAGAAATCTCAGAACGACTGGGTTTAGAAACTGCTAATGCATGAATTTATCAACCACTGGTACGAACCATGTGAAGACATTTTGGTTATTAGTAGTGAGATGTCAAAAGATAGTGGTTGAACACTACGATATGACAGAAAACAGATCCCAATAACGCGATTACTACGTCTTTTGTAAGTTTTCGTTGCCCTACTAATCTACCTATTTTATTCTTCGTCCTGTCTTTTGCTTACATCTTACTGCAGTCACTTTTGATCTAGCATGTGTTTTGTAGGCAAATTGGAACTGGAACATATGCCAATTTGCGACGGTCTACGTTAATGAGTTCGAGAAAAGAGGTATTCATTTGTTTTTTTTCTTGAAGACTTCTGAAAAATACAATGATTAAAGACGCAAATCAAAGTAGTAGCTTTTGAGAACTCGGAAACTTACTACTCTTTCACAATCAGAGCCAAATACAAAATATGGATGAATTTCACATAGTTTGATTTCACGGAGAAATCTCTTCAGTCGCACAGCATACGCTAAATATTCCCCGCCATATGATATTGGAAGACTTTCGCGTTCATAAAAATGTGTACAGAAATCTTCTCCATCAATGACAACGGCACTGTTGTGCAATTGAAATACTTCGAAACTTCTAAGTCATTCAGCAATATATTAGTCAATCTTGGTATAGGCATTGTAACCGATGATGGGTACTACATGAAGGTAATCAATAATGAATAAGTGAAAGCCAGAATGTTGAAAAAATAACGATGGGAACGGTAATCTAGAATATGAAAGAAAAAGTAAGAGATTTCCACGTTACAAGATTATTTTTTATTAGGACTTCGTTTGAATTTGTAGGCTTGATTAATAATTATTCTTTTAATAAAGACTCAGGATGGTACTATTACATTTAACAAAACTCCAATTTCGTCACGCCCGAAAATGTGTATTTTATCTGATATTTTCCAATAATTTCAAACGAAAACATGCAGATTGCTGATTCATGACTATGATGGATAATACCAGGGCACAGCTAAGAAAGACTTAACAGATGTAATAAAACTCCAGCTTATAAATCCACAACCCGGCTTGAAACCTGCCTGGTTTTGAGTTTCGATGTTCCCGATATTGACCCAAGCATCCAATGATTACAGAGCCTATAATCTCAAACAATGTTCGGTCTGGTTCCTCAAAGGTTATCACAGAAGAGTTTCTATCCTTTCTGAAGACTCAGAACAAGACAGACAAACAGAACCAACACAGTACCTCGCAAAGAAGTGTATCGGTTTAAGTTACCACATTTTACAGTAGTATACAAAGAATAAATGAATGGGAAAAGACTGATATCAAAGTAGACAAACGTGTATGAGAGAAGGAGGAACAATCAGTGACAAGATAATCATGCGCTACCTTCAAGCTTGTGTTTTGGTTGCATTATCTGTTTCGGTCTGAGACAGACGATATAAGCGTAGTACATTGCAAAGAGGGGAGTCACTTCAGGTTGCCCTCTTGGTTATACTAATTACTGATGGTCTAGAATAAGAAACAACTGTGGCAAATATTAAACAAGCATAGTCTCAGTAGGAAATCATTTAGATCAGCAACGGTTTAGAACCGTTATTATTAGAGTCTGTGATATAAGGCGATGAATCAACGACAAAGTAACCGGTAAACTAAGTGGCCAGTGAACGAAAATGTACTGTCATTAGGTGACATGTTTTTTATATCAAGAGTGTTATTCAGTGGAATAGTTGAATGAAATTTGGTGGTAATCCGATGTCAGATTGTAAGAATAATATTTAAAACAGTAGTACAAAATATGTACTGAAAATTAAATGTAGGAATTAGTTGCAACTCTTATTCGAATAATAGGAAGTGATTCAATTCTTACGGCTGCTGATGCACCTAATGTTATACCCGTTAGTACACCTGTAACAAGATTAGAAAGGAACGTGAGCGCTGAGTTTGCCTGGAGGATAACATCCGATGTCGTCATTTCATTTGACGATAGATACCCCACCAGGCTTTACACAGCTGCATGAGCTCGCGTAGATAACTTTGATTAGCACTGAGGATTTGCTCCGAACTCACTTCAAAGTCAGACACTGACATAACACCCCTCACTTAGTTAACTGTCATCTTTAGGTGAAGGTGAAGGGCAACTTTCGGACGCCGGTATGCCCATCTTCCATAACTTGACGAAGGGCGAAGACTTGATCGATATACCCTCGCCCACGTCTGAAAGCTGCTTGCATTTGCCGAGTTTGTTGTTCTCCAACTCCAGTTACATGGTGTATAAGTAAGAGCCCAATGTACGAACTCTATGCCAAATCAGACAGTAGGCATCACTCGCCAAAACTCTGGAATCTATCTCTAAGACAACTGTACACAGGGTCCTAGTGTCCTTATTACATTGACATATCATGAGTCTTAAGAAGTCAACTCGAGTATCTGGATACGCAGTGACTAGCCCTCGTGGTGTAGCATTCCGCTGTCGGGCAGAAAGTGCCCTTCTCTACTGGATACCAGGCAACAGCCGACCGTGTGGAATTTGACTGAATAGATGTGTCGGAACTAAGAAGGATCACGAAAATAGGCGATACCTATTCGTAATCTCCGCTCAAGCAACCACCAACTGTAGTTCGGATGATGAATTCGATGAAAAGCTGTCAATTTTGATACAGAAACAAAAACGTTCAGATACAGTCATAGTGCCGCGTGACTTTAACGCTCAAGTAGGGAAGCTGAGCCAATCCGAAAGTCATCTTGGTGGTATTCACAGAATCCCATATCAAATGAACCGGCAACGGTATTCGTCTCTTGCAATTTTCTTCGGACAATCACCTGTTCCTGGTCACCGCTAACTTTAGACATAAGAAGAGACAATGTCTCATATAGCGCCCACCGGTTTCAAACCAACGATGGACACAGATAGATCATATTGCTAGACGTCACCGTTGGACAGGATCGATCCACGATTGCCACTCTTCCTGGAATACCTGTTTAAACTCCGATCACACGTTGTTACGGTCACGTGCATGTCTGCACCGAACCTTACTGGTTGCAGGAAACAGGCGACAGTAGAGCCTGTCTATGCTCAAGTGGAAGATGAGAACGTCAAGTACGCATTTATGTAGGCGTTAGCCAAGCATCTATCTACACGTGACATGAATGCTCATCCTGAGGAAACCTGATGCGATATTAGGCCAGCTGTAGAAACAGCGGTAAAGACAGTTGGTAACCTACACCTGATGGTTAACAAAACACCACTGGATTTCCACGGCGTCATCCAAACCGACTAACACGAAAAGACTGATTCCAGCTGCCTCTGACATTGATGTACAGAGGAAGCAACTTAAACGTAATTTCACCATGACTCTTCGCCTCGACCTTAAGCAGTGGTGGGTCACGAGAGCGAGAGAGATGGAGAAGGCATCAGCGCTGGGTAAAACCTGGCTTGTTACGGACACCGACAAGACGAAAACGATGGTTGGGGAAACCATCACCCAATACGATTGAACTCTGATAACCTTTTAGCACAGACGACTAAAATGGTGGACAGAACACTCTGAAACATACACAACACCTCAGTTGCTCAGCATCCAGCCTGGACCCGAGTAGGAGGTAGATCTTCGTCCTCCAACTCTTCTTGAAGTTAAGAAGGCTGTGTTGAACCTGAAATGATGCAAAGTAATAGGACCTAACAGTTTGCCACCTTAAGTTTTCAAAGACCGAGGTAGGAAATGCTAATTAGAGTGACTGACGCAGGTACTAGGTAGTGAATGAGAATCGGAGGCAGTCTGTCGAACTGATCAACTTTTCTGATCATCTCAGTCTATAAGAAGGTGGAGAAGTCATCGTTTAACGACCATTGGCGAATCACTTTGACTAATATTGTGTCCAAGACCCTACAGTCCACAGTTATGCAACGCCTAACTGGAGCTCAAGAAGAGAAAACCAGGCTGGTTTAAGGCATAAATGAGCGTGCATCGAGCATATCTGCACCTCCTGACAGCTTTTACACGGACAAAGCTTGCTACATTTCTTGACTTGAAGGTGGCATTTGACTCTGTCGATCGTGACGTGTTGTGGCGGTGTCTGAGTGAAAGGAGTACCGAGTAAGTTTATAACACTAATCAGTGCTCTCTACTCGAGCTCATGCAGGTGTGTGAAGGTTTGTGAAAGTTGTCATCAAAATTGACGACAACTATTGGTGTCCACCAGGGATTCCCGTCATCGCCGTTCCCATTTAACTTCGTGCCAATAAACATAACCTTAGGTATATCTGACTTCACGTGGGTGGACGTTTGCCAACTTGCATCACCTATGACGCCATCGAGATATGCGATTATCTAACAAAGGATGGGTTTACTGGGCTTCAGTTCATTCTGCTCCTATTATACGACTATGAGACATGGTCTTTAAAAGTAGAAGATATGAAGCGGTCACAGGGTTTCCATCATTGATATCTTTGTAGCACTGCTTGCATATGGTGGAATCGCCGTGTAAGCAATGCTGAGGTCAGACGAAGGGTACTAAGCAAGGTAGGCAAATCGACTGATGAGGTTGTAAACCTTAATCAAGTGAAATGGCTTGGATATGTACTGCGCATGCCGAACCACTGCCTGCATCGACGTTCCATGTTATAAGCAGTTGCATCTGATCGGCAAACGGTTCAGAGTGGCCAGAACAAGGCGTAACACCAGTCGATGTCTCTTACCCTCGGTCTTAGTCATGTGGGGAAATGTAGACTGCCAAGCTGGGGTCCACGAAACGAAATGAATTAGTGGTTGAAGACTCATGGTGATATGGCTGAAAATCAGTCACAATGGTGCAGACGTATTCACTCTTTGACGTCTTCTAAAGCTTGAATATTTGGACTAACCATTATCTTCAGGTTGCTTATTCTCTCGCAACTTTTTTTACCTTGGTACCACTCTTCTTTTATTCTCTTCTTTGTATGCTACTGTGGTGTGACAACTCGAACCGATGTACTTGTGTGCGAGGTTCTATTATTATTATTAGTCCCTTGGGTTCCTAATGGAACATAGGGCTTCAGTAGCATGTCTCCAGTGAACTCTGTTCTCTGAAATCTTTTCAACCTGGCTCCACGACAGCCCACAAGCTCTCATTTCCTCCTCGCACGATCTCCTCCATGTCAAACTCGCCTCAGACGCCCAACTCGTCGCTTCCCATGGGGATTCCACTCGAGTACCTGGCCTGACGCGTGATGTCCCCAGCCGTCCTTCTCAGTGTATGCCCAATCCATCTCCACTTCCTTCTGCATATTCGCTGGGTGATAGGTTCTTGGTTGGTTCGTTCCCAGAGCTCCTTGTTGCTTATTCTTTCTGGCAATCCATCTGAGCTTCAGTAGCGAGCGCAAGCAGTTGTTGATCAATGTAGTTTATTGGAAATCCCTTTCGTAACGCGTCAAGTCTCTGAGCCATACAGAAGCACTGACTTGACGCTGGTGTTGAAAATCCAGATCTTGTTCCACATGCTGAGTGCAGAAGATCTCCACACTGGTTTCAGGTTAATGAATGCCTGTCTTGTTTTTCCGATTCTGACTTTGATATCCTCATCTGTGCCGCCACCTGTAGTTGAAACAGTGCTTCCTAGATAGGTGAAGGAGGTTACTTCCTTTAAGTTTCTCCAGTTCATGGTGATTGAAGCTTGTTGTTGGTGGTGGTGGCTTAGGTTGGGTGTTTTC